ATGTCCATCAGCCTCTTTCCCCAGACATTCGTTCAGTGGGCACATGAGCAAAATGGCCCTGGTAGCAGGGATGGAGGCTATACACACGGGCTCAACAATATGGATTTCCCCTTGCCAAGGCTGACCTGGATCCCACTTCTGATGAGTGCCTCATCTGCAAATAGCGGAGACCAGCTGTATGGCGCTATTCCCCAGGAGAACAGCCTGCCAGCTGTGGCACTTTGATTATGTTGGACCTCTTCCACCATGGAGGAGACAAAGGTTTGTCCTTACAGGAATAGATACAGATTGTAGATATGGATTTGCTTTCCCTGCCTGTAAAGCTTTTGCTAGCCTCCCTGTATGTGAATTCACAGAGCACCTAATCCACCATCAAGGCACTCCACACAGCATTGCATCGGATGAAGGAACTCATTTCACAGACAGGAAAGAGCAGCTATGGGCTCATGATTATAGAATCAAATGGCCTTACCATATACTCCATAACCCAGAAGCAGCTGGCCTAATTGAAAGGTGGAATGGCTTATTAAAGACTCATTTATGGCTATGACTGGGCAACAACACCTTGAAAGAACAAGACCCTATGTTACATGCTCCTTTAAAGTGAGCATGATGTTAAGCAGTTTATGCTTTGAATCAGAGATCATTGTGTGACACTGTTTCCCCCATAGCTAGAATGCCTGGATCCTGGAATCAAGATGTGAAAGTGTCAGTGGATCCTCTCACTATTATATCCAATAACTCACTCCCAGAATATTTATTCCATCTCCCAGCAATTGTGAGCTCTGCTAGCTTGGAGATCTCAGTCCCCCAGTAGGGAATGTTTCCACCAGTGGACAAAACAATGGTCCCACTGAATTGCAGGATGAGACTTCAATCTGGCTAGTTTGCTCCTTATGCCATTGAACTAACAGGCAAAATAAAGAGCCAATCTACTGGCCGGAATGATAAAGCCTGATTACTCAGTGAAATTGGGGTACTACTGCACAGTTGAGGCAAGGAGGACTCAGAACTCACAGGATTCTCTGGGGGCAATTCTTAGTACTTCCATGCCCAATAGTAACGGTTAATGGAACACTATAGGTACCCCAAAACAAGCAGGGTGGCTGATGACCCAGACCCTTCAGTAATGAAAGTTTGGGTAAATCATCCAGAGAAGCTGAAGTTCTGACTGAGGGCAAGGGAAATATGGAATGGGAGATTGAAGAAGAAAGCCATAGGTATTGATTATGATGTCATGGCCAATTACAGAAACTAGGACTATAGTCGCTCTGCATATTTCTCTATGTGTGTACATGCGCATGTTTATTTGTACACAATAATCATTCTCTTATTTCTTATTACCATTTAAAAAATTATTTTGTCCATATGTTATTAGAAGTTAACTTTATAATATTGTCTTGATGTAACAGAATATTCAGTGAGATTGTGGCTGAATTTGAGGAGTAATTAATATAGCCTGCGATCTTCTTCACTTGTAAGGAGAGAGGTATCTTGTTAGGTAGAAATATAGAATTGTTTTGTTTGTTGTAAGTTAGTTTGAATGTTCATAGAAGGATGCATAAGGAAAATGAGTAGCCAAAAGGATGGGCTATATCAGTTATCCATTTATTACCTCTCAGCTCCAAATGCAGCTTTCAATATATGCTCTGTAACAACCAACAAAATTCCCTTAAGTATTTCTCATTTAAAGTGAGCATGATGTTAATCTTTCTCAGGAGAAAGGAGAATGAGGTTTCCTGCAAGTTCTGGCCCAGATCACAGGAGGGCCCAGAATGCACAATTACCTTGCAACTCATCATGGACACCGGAGCCCCACACAACCAGCCATCTGCCCAATTCCCTCAGCAAGCCCTGGAATGGCCTGCATGCAGACACCTGGTGGACTCCTTCAGCAAGTCCTCACCTGTATGCATGCAGCACCTATAGTCCTCAGAGTCACAGAATGACTTTCTGTGACTTTCTGAAGGTTTTCCATCTGCAAGCCCATGCACTGTGGAGGCTTTCTGCCTCTAATGGTGCCCTGCATCCAACTGCATGTCCACACCACTGGTTGCTAAGTTCCTGCTTCCTTACCTGCACCCTGGAAGGTGGCCTGTAGTTTTCCTGGCAACTCCAGACCAACTGTGGCTTGGCTAAGCCAGTGAACTCCTCTGCAATTCACTGCCTGAACCATACCTTCTCCAATGAGATCTGAACCCCTCCTAGGTCTGTCTTTTCTTCACCACTATTCCTTGGCCCTTGGGTACCACATAGAGTTTCCTTATATCTTATTCTCTCATCATAGTTAATACTTTTTTTACATTAACTTACCTTGTTTAATCTACTGAGTGGTTTCTATCTCTTTATTGGACCCAGAGAACTAAACATTAATCACTCTGATCTTTCAAAGTAGGTCTCATTATCTCCATTTTGCTGAAGAGAAAAACTGAAGCTCAGATAACTAATGCTCAGAGCGGTGAGGGGCCATATACAAAGCCCCACAATTAGTAAATGAAAGAGCTGGGATGTCAACCCTGTTTTGTTTGTTCCATCTCTGGCCAATACCACCCAAAATGTTCAGCCCGTGTGCATCCATCCATCTCATACATTCCTTCCCATACTTAGCTTCATCTCCTCCCCTACAACTCCCCTCTGGAATCCAGTTTCCTAAACTTAAGGCATATCCCAAGTCTTTTCACTGAATGTGCCCTCCACCTCTTTACCAAAATCTGAAATTTTCTTAGAGGCAACACTCCTGGATGGGCTTTTTCATAATCACCTGGAATATTTCCCATTCTGAGATCTAAATATCCTGTATCCTGCTCTCTTCCAGGAAGGCCTCCAGTTCTCTTCAACACCTAATTCCACCATACCATTCTCTGGCCTAATTAAATCCCTTTGTCCTCTCATTTCTTCCCATTGTGCCACTATTATCTTGATGTAACCTGAATAGCATGATCAACTACTATAATATCTCTACTATCCTTCCCTTTGCCCAATCTTTCTGTATAGCTCCTGCCTGCTTTCTCTCCCAAAGCCCCAGCATCTCTCTCCTCAAGCCCCCTTTCTCACTACTTTCCAAAACATTTTAAGCAAGTGTCCTATAAACAGCTATGAAATGTGAAGCCAAATATTATTCTTCCTTATACAAGTTATAGTCATCATCATAACTGTCATCAATACCACAATCATCATTACTTCCTTACTGAGTTCAAAGCATCTTCCTTGACATCTAGTTGGATTGAATCTGTATCACCTTCACTGGAACCATCACTGGTTTATTGAGGACTGTTAGTTAATGAAGATTCAATAATTCTGATGCTAAAGAGGCCTAACACTAATCACAAGGTGGCCTAATGGTTTCAAATTTCCTTTATGTTCAAAGCAAGAATCTGACAGTATTTCATCATGGCACCATTTCCTTGCATAATCTGTCCTTTGTACCCAAGGGGAGATCTAGAGTTTCAAATTCAAAGCCAAATTTGGAACAGGAAAGGCTGGGATGGTTCTGTGGATGGTGGGATGTCAGAATAATGACAAGGATAAAATGAATGCCAGGAACTCCTGCCTATTTTTCTCTTTTTACTCTGGTGGTAGAAAGAGTAAAGGCAAAACTTGGAGAAGATTCTGTCAAGGTCAGCAGGGGATCCTGGTGAGAGCTTACCTCTCTGACTCAGGCTTCACTGGAGTGTTGCCTGCCTGCCTTTCCTGGTGTGAGAGACACTTTGTGGCCAGTACCATTCCTGAGATTCTGTGGAGCAACTTTTCTGTGCCATCTCCAAAGTGCTGGGGACTCTAAGGAGCCACAGCCATGGGTGAAGGTTTCTGGCACAGGTAAGAGAAGCCAGCACCATATGATCATCATATCCTGTCATACCTGTCAGTGTCCACTTGCGTCAAATACTCTAGTAACACTATTATGACTCAATTCAGATTTTAACAAATGTTTATTAAAAAAGCTCTACTATGTGAGACTATTAATGAAGGTATCTTTGACGAGTGCTGGCTGTTTGTAATCAGGGTCTCTTCATCTGGTATCTTGAGGGGTGTCATAATTTTTCTATAGTTTTGCCTATTCAGATTTTATGAGCTTCTTGGTGATACACCCAAGCTTACTAAATCCACACCTGAAAGAAATGTAAACAAATGCCCACCTTCTCATTTGTAATGCTAACTATCCCTTTCCAGAGAGCAGGATGGCCCCTCTCTCAAGTTGAAGTGGTCTCAGTTGTTTGCTTGGTATTGTGGTGGTAGGAGAGAGAAGTAGAATGTAATCAGAAGAATGGCACTGTTTCTATAAAGTGTGTGATGTGTCAAGCACTGTTTTGAGAACGTGTATACCTACATTAACTTCTCACAAGAATCCCACAAAGTGATGGTTTGCTGCAAAGTATGAGCTCTGATCCACTATGACATGGTTTGGGTGATATTTGTCCGTGTACCAAGAGACTCTTCAAAATATCTCTTTACCACAGCAGGGGCTCACCAGGTACCCTGGGACCAACCCCCATGGAAGTACTGGGTGGACAATGACCAATCCTTGCACGCTATTCTTAAAAGTCACTTTTCCTTTCACCTGAGACTGTGTTTCTTTAGATCTGTTCATGCTCCTGATTGAGATAAAATAGACACTGATCTGGGTCTTGTGAGTCATCTTGTCACAGCTATCTTGAGTTGATTTAATAGGCCCAATCCTCATACACTCAGTCACTCAGTCAGAAAATGTTACAGATTTTATTTGTGCCAGACCCTTTAGAGGGCCCTGGGGAAAGAGAACTGAATCAGACACAGGTCTTGCCTTAGCACTCTGTCTTACAGTTGGGTCTCTTGATGTTTGAGGATAGCCCAGCTGCTGGAGCCATCAAGTCCCACCCAGGTACCTACCTTAACACATCATCTCCTCTAACTATCAGTCAGTGATTCTTGCCTGCCCATTGGGTAATGGGAGGGAATGGGGCGGAAGGACCACAGAACCTATGGTTTCAGGTCTGGCTGTGGCCTTCTGTGCTCCAGTGGCCTCATTCAGGGGCCCTACCCCAGCCTGTTAACTTAAGGAAAGCCCTCTTCACATCTTTGTTTCTGAATCTGTAGATGATGGGGTTGAGAAAGGCAGAGATAACATTGTAGAACAGGGCCAGTTTCTTGTCCCGCTGTGGGGAGGCATTGGCCCCAGGGTTCATGTACATAAACATGGCAGGTCCACAGAACATGGTAGCCACGGTGATGTGGGAGGCACAGGTGGAGAAGGCCTTGAGTCTACCCTGAGCTGAGCAGATTCTCAAGATGGTGGCAAAGATACGGACATAAGAGGCCAGAATGAAGGAAAGGGGTACCAGGAGAAGGATGAAGCCCAGAATGAAATCTACTCGGTCATTGAGGGATGTGTCTGCACAGGCCAGCCTCAGAACAGCAGGGACCTCACAGAAGAAGTGATTGATCTCATTGGGGCCACAGTAGGGCAGGTGCATTGTGAAGACAGTATAGACTAGGGAACAGCTGCCACCCCACAGTCCACAAAAGACCACCATTGCCCCACACAGCCATGGGCTCACGATAACCTTGTACCTAAGTGGGTAGCAGATGGCCACATATCTATCATAGGCCATGACAGAGAACAGCCAGCCCTCAGTGATGCCTAACACTAGAAAGATGTACATCTGTGCTACACACCCAACATAGGAGATAGTTTTCTTCCGGCAGACCAGATGCACCAACATCTGGGGCACAGTGGTGGTGACATAGCTCTTGGAGACCTAGCATGGAGAGGACACTGAGGAAGAAATACATGGGTGTGTGGAGGCAGGAGTCAAGGCAGATCAAGGTGGCAATGAGCCCATTGCCCACAGGTGTGGAGAGGTAGAGAAAGATGAAGATATTGAAGAGGATTGCATTAATTTGGGAATCCCTGGAGAAGCCCAGAAGTGTGAACTCAGACACAGAGCTGTGGTTCTCCCAGGGGAAGTCCTCCATTCTTTTTCAGATGCAGAAAGACAAATGGACCTGCTAGTGGCCCAGCTTAGGCTGCATATTCACATACCATTTAGTTGCTCGCAAGGCCAGTGGTTATTTGGATACTATTGGGGACTGATATCATATCAAAGACTGAGGTCTACCTAGGGTGAGGCTAAATTTGGGGAGTGAGGGAAACCTTCATGGAATTGTCTGTTTCTCAGTCCCAAATCTTTTCTCAAGACCTCCAGGGTCTCATTTCGTTCCCTCTATCAGCCCCAGCAAGGCCACCTGCTTTCTTGTCCTTCAGGAGCTACCATCACATAGTGGATTGCTTGGGGCTCTTCTCCCCCAGTCATGGCTGTAGAATGAGATGATGAGAATTTGAAGCTCTTCCTTCCCTCTTCTCCAAAAACAAGCACTCAGAACCCTTTCCTTTGGTGCTTTAAACTTCTCGTCACTGTAGATATATGGACAGGGCGAGTCAGAAATGTGGGGAAGATATATGACTCCAGAAACGTTAAAACTTTTTAGAAAATTTTACCCAGATCTGTATTTCTTGAGTCTTTTGGGCCTCTGGAAGCTTCCTCATATCTGATTTGATTTTAGATAGAGTTGCTCACTACCCTGCCTCTTCCTGGCCTTACCCACAACTGAATGGAACAGTCTTCCTGCTTGACCCTAAAACTCTAATAGAGGCAGAATAATTGTTGTCTTCTTTGCTTAAAGCAGCTTTGGCATCCCTGAATCCCTCCAGCCTGGTGGGAATATATCTCCCAATGGTAATTGATCTCTTGGAATCCCTTTCTCTCTTGGAGTTGAGATTTATGATGAGCAGGGAGCCCCAGTTAAAGACTGTGCTTGGGTTCAGTTTATATCTTATAAATTAGGGCTGATTCCTTGTTTGTAGTGCCATAGGAGGTGGTGGTTCTAGTAGAAGAGCATGGAATTTGGAATCAGAAGACTGGAGTTCAAGTCTTGGTACTTCAACTGCAGCCCTGTTCAAGTAATTTAACCTCCTTGAGCCTCATTTCCTTCTCTGTAAAATCTACATGATACTTATCAGGGAGAGATCCTGTCAGAAGTAATACATGATATTTGTGAGGCACCTAGCACTGTCACTACCACAGAATGGGAGCTCAATGATGTTAGTTCCTGTCAAATCCTCTTCCTCATGGTGTCATTCATCAAATGGTCAACAAACACTGATTGAGCACCTGCGATATATCAGGTACTAGGAGCTGGAGAGACAAGGACAAACACGTTTTATTCCTAATCCTCAAGGAGCTTACAGTACAGTTGGGGAAATAGAATAGAGACACAAACCACATTCCAATGTGTTTAGCACTGTGGTGGAAATATGTGCTGGCAGTCAAAGCTCTGAGCTAAGCACTAGAGATACAGAAAAAAAATCTCTGCCCTCAAAGATCATGCCCACAAAGGAGACAGGTAAACAATGAATGGCTGTCAAGTGATAAGTGCTATGATAGGAATAAGTACAGAATGTCATGGGAGCCCATGAAAGGAGCACCTGGGCTAGCCTTTGGGAGCTAGACTTCTCCAAGAAGAGGACACATAATGTTAATTTTAAAGGACAAGCAGGAATTAGCCAAGCAGCCAAGGATGAATTTTGCAAGCAGATGGAGTAGCAGGTGCAAAGGACCATAACCAAGGGAGAGCTTCATGCAACCAGGGAGCACAAGTGATAAAGTCTGAGGGCAGGCTAGTCTGCAGAGTAGGAAGGAAAAGATTATAAAGGCTGTTGTATAACTTGATAAGCAGCGTGGACTCGATCATTTAGGCCATGACAAGTCACAGATAAGTTTTAAGTGGATAAGTAATACATTGATGCTTAGGTTTTAGAAACATCACTACTTGGGTGGAAGTTAGGAGAAGGCATTGGAGGAAGACCAGTTGAGGGGTATGGGGAAAAGGCAGAAGAAGAGACAACAAAGAAGAGAAGAGAGATTAGAGAGAGGTGTAGGACATTGAATCAACAAGACTTGGTAACTGAGAGGTGCAGCAGGAGATAAAGAGGGAAGAAACAAGGATGAGCTTGAGGTTTTAGGCTTGGGAACCTAAGTTGACAGTAATACCATTACAAGACAGAACCTAAAAAAATCTAGACTCTAGGTGGAGGTGGAGGACAGAGAGATGGGGTGGGGCAGGAAATGGCCAAGAGGTAATGATTGATTCTGTTATAGACATACAGAGTTTGAAACATGAAGTATCCCTGAGGATCTGACCATCAGCGAGTTAAACGGATAGCCTTGGAGCTCAGGAAGGAGATCTAAGTGGAAAACCAAAATTTGAAAGGTAATTAAGCACAGAGTGGATGAGAATTCTCAGGGACAGCTCAGAGAGAGAGAGAGAGAGCAGAGGCTCCAAAGATGCAACCCAGGAGCATGAACATTGGATAGGTCAGCAGAAGAAGAGATGGGGCTTGAGCAAGAGCATGCAGGGAAGCAGGAAAGCTTGATGCCACAAACCCGGAGACCTAGTGTCTCCAATAAGGGGGAGTGCATATGCGGCCAAATGATACAGAGAGGGCAAGAGGAATAAAAACTTCAAAAAATGAAACAATCTGGACCTTATTAGTGGCTTGGATGTGGGAAATTTCTGTGGAGTGATGAAGGTAGACATCAGATATCAGTGGGTTGGGAGGAGTGAACTGGGCTATAAAGAGGAGTAAGATGAAGAGATATCTAAGATTGGGACATAAGGTGAAGGGAGTGTTTTGTTTTGATTTGTTGTTTTCTTAAGGTAGAAGAGAGTTCAGAATATATACTGGGGGGAAAGTCAAAAGAGAGGGAGAGAGAAGTGACATTGCAAGGTCTCTGAGGAAGTGACAGTGACAGGACTAAGCATACAAGTCATAGGAGGCGGCTTCAATAAGAGTAGAAACAGAAGGGGGGGGAGGGAAGAATGAGATGGATACAGATCATTTAACTGTGACCAACAGAAAATTCATGACCACATTCCCATGGACCAGCTAGTCTCATGGGTTCTTCCTTCACAACATCTCATGTAGATGATGAGGAAGAAAATCTGATCCAATGGTTGGAAATTGAATTTCAAGTCTCAACTGGATAGAATAAGAGGCTAACGTCAACAGAAAGAAATATTGTAGCATGAATGTAAAACCCCTTGTCCCTCCCTTGGGCTCAAGAAGCCAACCATAGCAAGCTCAGATGGGGCAGCAGTTCACTGGGCAATAACTGAGGACTGAGAGTGGATCAGTGTAAGGAAACTTCCAAAAAGTCAATGTGAGGTGACATCATTGAGAAAGCTTGCTGGCAGATCACAGAAGGTGGCATGGAACTGTGTCTGCAGTAGCCAGGCCAAATGTGGGGCATCTTTCTCACTTCTGGGTCTACATTTTAAGGGGCATGTGGACAAATTGAAACAGGTTATGAAGAAGGGTCTGGAAACCACATCATGTGAGGAAGAGCCGAGGCAAATGGGGATGTTTGCCATGCAGAATAAAAGGTGAGGGGCATTATGGAAGCTGAGGGCCAACTCTCTGAAAGGCTTTCATGTACAAGACATGAGACTTGTTCTGGATGATCCCAAGAGGTACAGGTGAGGGTTACACCAGGGAAGCAGGTTTCAGTGTAATAGAACCAACTTACATTAGTGAGGGCAGTCCACAGACATATCGCCTGGCCTGGAAGGTAGTGAACTTACTGATCCCATGAAAGGATCAAACAAAATGTCAAGGATGCATTGTGACCAGTCTTGCTGGTGGGGTAGGAGGGTCTCTGGTCCACTCTATCTGGAAGAGTTGAGGACTTTGCTGTTCCTCTGTGCTCTCCTTCTTTCAGCTTCTCCTGGACCTGATGCCTGGACCATTGCAGCCATCTCTCAGTAGGCATCCCACTCCCTGTCCTTGCTACGTACTCGGTGACCAGAATATAGCGCAGGATTTAGGAAAAGAGCAGAGAGCAGAGGGGAGAGGGATAGAATGGCCAGGAATGAAGGAATGAGAGGCTCCAAGACCACTATGAGCCTCCTTTCCAGCCATAACAAGTCCTCGCCTAGGGCTGTGCCAGAGAGGAATGCCAAGACATCAGTATCCTGTTTGGAAGCAGTTATCTCCCTCCCCTTCCCAAATGAAAGCTTCACAGCTCTTCCCCGTTCTAACATCTCCCTCCACCTCCCAAATTCTATGACTTGTCATGCCTACCTTCATCTCTCCTACCAGTGCCTTGTCCTGTAGCCTTAATGGGCTGCAGAGGAGAGCTGAATGCCTCAGCTCCATAGCACAAGCCTTCACTTCCTTCCATTTTTCTCCTGAGGAGCACATCCAAAAGACAAAGATGGAGAGAGAAAGACAAAGAGACAGACAGATCACTGTACAGAGAGGAATAAATGAACAGAGGACAGAGGTCAGGAGCAGAGCAGATGCCCAGGCCTGGAGATCCTGATGTAGATGGAAAGGAGGTGAAGGCAGGGAGACACCAATCAGACAGATGGGGCAGATGAGGAGCCTCAGGCAGGGATGCCCAGGGATAGGACTGCATTCCTCAGGCCCCTGCCTCTGCTCCTCCCTCCTTACCTTGTTCTGGGCTCAGTGAGGGATGAGCTAGGAGCCTCACGGGTCCTTCTTTAATATTCTGCTCCTGATCCTCAGGGAGAACAAATCGGGCAGCTTCTCAGTGAGTCTCTGTGTCGCGGGATTCTTCAGGCCCCACAGCAACCCCCCCAACTCCTGAGCACATATTTTACCTTCCCAGCCTGGCACTCAAGGCCTACACACCCAGGTCCCCTTACCAAACTGACCCACCCTGCTCCCCACAGGCCTCTCCTGCTCTGACTTGCAGTCCAAGGGGAGAAGTGTGTGAACATCAATTAGAGTAAGTGCATGGATTGAGAAGTGCAAGGGGTGAGGGCTGGCAGGCGTGCCAGGAAAGCCTTCCATGGACCACAAAGAATGAAAGAGGTTTTGGGGAAGGGGAATGGCATGGAAGGGCTCTGCTCTGCTGTGCTTTCAGCCCCCAGCACCCTGCTCTGCCCTCTCC